CCACCTTTCAAACAGTCCTCCTCCTCCACCTTTTCAAACAGTCCCCTCCTCCACCTTTTCAAACAGTCCTCCTCCACCTTTTCAAACAGTCCCCTCCTCCACCTTTTCAAACAGTCCCCTCCTCCACCTTTTCAAACAGTCCCTCCTCCACCTTTTCAAACAGTCCCCTCCTCCACCTTTTCAAACAGCCCCTCTCCACCTTTTCAAACAGTCCCCTCCTCCACCTTTTCAAACAGTCCTCCTCCACCTTTTCAAACAGCCCCCTCCTCCACCTTTTCAAACAGTCCTCCTCCTCCACCTTTTCAAACAGTCCCCTCCTCCACCTTTTCAAACAGTCCTCCTCCACCTTTTCAAACAGTCCCCTCCTCCACCTTTTCAAACAGTCCTCCTCCACCTTTTCAAACAGTCCTCCTCCACCTTTTCAAACAGTCCCTCCTCCACCTTTTCAAACAGTCCTCCTCCACCTTTTCAAACAGCCCTCCTCCACCTTTTCAAACAGTCCCCTCCTCCACCTTTTCAAACAGTCCTCCTCCACCTTTTCAAACAGTCCTCCACCTTTTCAAACAGTCCCCTCCTCCACCTTTTCAAACAGTCCTCCTCCACCTTTTCAAACAGTCCCCTCCTCCACCTTTTCAAACAGTCCCTCCTCCACCTTTTCAAACAGTCCTCCTCCACCTTTTCAAACAGTCCTCCTCCACCTTTTCAAACAGTCCCTCCTCCACCTTTTCAAACAGTCCTCCTCCACCTTTTCAAACAGTCCCCTCCTCCACCTTTTCAAACAGTCCCTCCTCCACCTTTTCAAACAGTCCTCCTCCTCCACCTTTTCAAACAGTCCTCCTCCACCTTTTCAAACAGTCCCCTCCTCCCCCTTTTCAACAGTCCTCCTCCACCTTTTCAAACAGTCCTCCTCCTCCTTTTCAAACAGTCCTCCTCCACCTTTTCAAACAGTCCTCCACCTTTTCAAACAGTCCTCCTCCACCTTTTCAAACAGTCCTCCTCCACCTTTTCAAACAGTCCTCCTCCTCCACCTTTTCAAACAGTCCTCCTCCACCTTTTCAAACAGTCCTCCTCCTCCACCTTTTCAAACAGTCCCTCCTCCACCTTTTCAAACAGTCCTCCTCCTCCACCTTTTCAAACAGTCCCTCCTCCACCTTTTCAAACAGTCCCCTCCTCCACCTTTTCAAACAGTCCTCCTCCACCTTTTCAAACAGTCCTCCTCCTCCACCTTTTCAAACAGCCCTCCTCCACCTTTTCAAACAGTCCCCTCCTCCACCTTTTCAAACAGTCCTCCTCCTCCACCTTTTCAAACAGTCCCCTCCTCCACCTTTTCAAACAGTCCTCCTCCTCCACCTTTTCAAACAGTCCCCTCCTCCACCTTTTCAAACAGTCCCCTCCTCCACCTTTTCAAACAGTCCCCTCCTCCACCTTTTCAAACAGTCCTCCTCCACCTTTTCAAACAGTCCCCTCCTCCACCTTTTCAAACAGTCCCCTCCACCTTTTCAAACAGTCCCCTCCTCCACCTTTTCAAACAGTCCCCCTCCTCCACCTTTTCAAACAGCCCTCCTCCACCTTTTCAAACAGTCTCCTCCTCCACCTTTTCAAACAGTCCTCCTCCACCTTTTCAAACAGTCCCCTCCTCCACCTTTTCAAACAGTCCTCCTCCACCTTTTCAAACAGTCTCCTCCTCCACCTTTTCAAACAGCCCTCCTCCACCTTTTCAAACAGTCCTCCTCCACCTTTTCAAACAGTCCTCCTCCACCTTTTCAAACAGTCCCCTCCTCCACCTTTTCAAACAGTCCCCTCCTCCACCTTTTCAAACAGTCCTCCTCCACCTTTTCAAACAGTCCTCCTCCTCCTTTTCAAACAGTCCTCCTCCTCCACCTTTTCAAACAGTCCTCCACCTTTTCAAACAGTCCTCCTCCACCTTTTCAAACAGTCCTCCTCCACCTTTTCAAACAGTCCTCCTCCTCCACCTTTTCAAACAGTCCTCCTCCACCTTTTCAAACAGTCCTCCTCCTCCACCTTTTCAAACAGTCCCCTCCTCCACCTTTTCAAACAGTCCTCCTCCTCCACCTTTTCAAACAGTCCCCTCCTCCACCTTTTCAAACAGTCCCCTCCTCCATCTTTTCAAACAGTCCTCCTCCACCTTTTCAAACAGTCCCCTCCTCCACCTTTTCAAACAGTCCTCCTCCACCTTTTCAAACAGCCCTCCTCCACCTTTTCAAACAGTCCTCCTCCTCCACCTTTTCAAACAGTCCTCCTCCTCCACCTTTTCAAACAGTCCCCTTCTCCACCTTTTCAAACAGTCCTCCTCCTCCACCTTTTCAAACAGTCCCTCCTCCACCTTTTCAAACAGTCCCTCCTCCACCTTTTCAAACAGTCCCCTCCTCCACCTTTTCAAACAGTCCTCCTCCACCTTTTCAAACAGTCCCCTCCTCCACCTTTTCAAACAGTCCCCTCTCCACCTTTTCAAACAGTCCCCTCCTCCACCTTTTCAAACAGTCCCCTCCTCCACCTTTTCAAACAGCCCTCCTCCACCTTTTCAAACAGTCCTCCTCCTCCACCTTTTCAAACAGTCCTCCTCCACCTTTTCAAACAGTCCTCCTCCTCCACCTTTTCAAACAGTCCCCTCCTCCACCTTTTCTAACAGCCCCCCTGTGGTCTAAATGAAACATCTGTGCTGTGCTTTGATCAAAATCTAACATGAATCAAGCACCAGAGGAGGTTTGTGACCCTGTATAAACCAGCTCTCTCAGAACGCTCCGTTTTGGTGTGTGTGTCTCTTTAAATGTAATGACCCCGCCCCCTGAGTTTACTCTGTAGACATCACTCCTCTGTAGAGAGAATAAAAATGGTGGACCTGTGAAAAAGTTTTGTTCTGGTCTGGGGGTGGAGTCCATGGGTGGAGATACCAGGGGATGGGAATCCCACTGTGACATCACAAGGAGAGCACATTAGAAACAGAGCTTCTCTGTGTTGTAAGACTTATGCAGACCACAAACAAAGGACTGGATGGTTTATGTCACATGTTGTGGGTCAGTAGACTCTCAGGTTACACAGATATATGTTCAGAAACACTGAAGAAGTGGATTCTTCAGAATATGTCCCCTGTCTGTACCGCTTTTTAATTTTTTAACCCTAAACCGAGACAGTACTCAGATTAACGAGCTTTTTTAAAGGACCTTAAAGGCGCCGTACGTCGATGCTCGTGCCCTCCATCCTCGCGTCCTGATTGGTCCGCTGGGCTTCGTGACTGCAGACGCGCCCGCTCCAGAGAGTCACCTTGCCCCGGCTGCTGCAGCTTCTGTACCGGTCAGAGAGCAGGTGAACCGACCGGGGACTGTGAGGGTACTGACCGACCAGGAGAAACATGGCGGAGGGAAAGCCCAAGACCTCCCCGAAGGCCATCAAGTTCCTGTTCGGGGGCTTGGCCGGGTAGGTGCTGCTGCTATGCTAACATGCTAATGTCAGCGGTCAGGGTCTGCTAACAGAGGAGCTAACAGAGGAGCTAACAGGCTGGAGGATGTTTTCAATGTACCTGTCGGTGATTCAGACAATATCCAGTGACTGTGTCTTTCTGATCAGGCTGCACTGTTAGCTACCTGTTAGCTACCTGTTAGCTACCTGTTGTTCATTGATGGTAGGCAGCGTAGGGCCGGTGTTACGGTTTAAAAAGTGACCGTGTTATCTGGTGACTTTCAGCTGTTGTCGTCGCAGCGTTTGGACACACGATGTCCTCGCTGATGCTCCTCAAATACACTCATCAGATATTCTGCTTTCTGTCGGATGTCACCACTTAACACGGCCACAAGTTAAAGCGAAACACCGGTGTCACAGTGTAACTGGGTGTTGAACTAACTGCTGACATTCCGGCAACGACGTTAAAAATCACGCGACGGATCTCTGAGTTCATTCAAACTACGTTTCTGATGTGACGACGTTATTGTGAAGGTGAACCAGGCCGAGGACCAGTTAAACCATGACACTGGTGTTGTGTCAAAGTGCGTCTCTCATCGATTTGTGTCTCCCCCTGACACTAAGTGCTGCCTTCAAGAGCTCCTCGGAAATATCAAATTGACCTTATGAACACGTAGGATTCTGTTTTTTAAGTAGTTTATAATAATACAACTTTATCTTCAAGATATAGAATCAGAGTTTTTTCGTCTTCGTCTTCTTCTGCTGCGTTCTCGGCCCGTTACCTCCTGAGTCTGTCGAAAGGGTCGATACGTCTTCATCTTTTTCAGAAGACATGCAGCAGATTAGTCCAATTTAGACTCTGTGGAGGACTTTACCTTATTAAACACAACGAGAAATGATCCAGCATCGGGTGCCTGGGACTTCTATTTTTGTTGCCGTGGTAACAAACAGGTATCGTTCCTCCACGTGGGGATGGTGTGTGACCTCTGACCTGAGATGAGTCCAACACGTTTCGGACGCGGACGTGTTCATCCCGCTCGCTCTGTGGACAGACTGCGAGGATTTAAAGTGACCTGATAGGACCTGGACTCGTCGTCAGGGGTTACGGCCTGCTTGACAAGTTCTTAAACAAAACCAGACAACACACAGATCAGAGAGATTTCAGTGAGAGAAAAAACAAGTTTTCTAAAATGCCCGTAGGCCTCGTCCTACATGTGGACGAGGCCTCAGGTCTTCCCACCTGACTCTCCTAGACCCCCCCTCCCCTCCCCCTTCAGAGAGGGAGGAGGGAGAGAAACAGGACCTCATGTAACAGGAGGTCAGACTAAAGCAGAGACCAACAGAACTCTAGTTTAAAAACAAGAAGAAGTTATCGTTGTTTATTAATAAATAATGAGGACCAATCAGAAGAGCGAGCATCATGTTCAGGAAACATGAAAACATGAACGCAGGCTTTATAACCAGCACCAACACGCTGCAGGACGATCCAGATGTTCTGATTAAACCAGAAACAGACGCACGCGCTCTTCGTTTCCTCCTCCAGCTGTGCAGCAATGCATTGTGGGAGAGGAGTCCTGCCTTACTTTGACCTCGTGCAGGCTGAACTGATCTGAGTGTCCTTTAAATGTCACCGCTTCCAAACATCTCAGGAGGGGGGGAGGGGGGAGGAGAGAGGGGAGAGAGACACACACACACACACACACACACACACACACACAAGGTGCCGGTCTTTGAAATGTCTGGGGTTTGAACGTTGAGTTTACAAACTGCCTACTCCTTTAAAAGATGATCAATGAAGAGCGAGTCAGCTGATCGGTCCTTTAACTTCAACGACCAATCAAAATCGCCCGCTGCTCTAATTAAATATAAACATAATAATCAGACTTCAGTCACTTTTGTTGCTCCATCAGACTGACCTCTGACCTCTCTGCGTGTGGAGTGATGCATCAGAGTACGAGCCGTCCCTCTCACTTCAGGTTACAGTCTGTTATCGCCGCGGTAACCTGCTGAGCTCAGGCGACTGCCATTATCTGCTGGAGATAAAAATGAACAAATTCCAGGTTAGGTTTGGAATGAGACACGGTGTGTGACAAGTACCTGTCTGTCTCTCTGATCCTGTCTCTCTGATCTGTCTCTGTGATCTGTCTCTCTGATCCGGTCTCTCTGATCTGTCTCTCTGATCCGGTCTCTCTGATCCGGTCTCTGTGATCTGTCTCTCTGATCCGGTCTTTCTGATCTGTCTCTCTGGTCCGGTCTCTCTGATCCGGTCTCTGTGATCTGTCTCTCTGATCCGGTCTTTCTGATCTGTCTCTCTGGTCCGGTCTCTCTGATCCGGTCTCTCTGATCCGGTCTCTCTGATCCGGTCTCTGTGATCTGTCTCTCTGATCCTGTCTCTCTGATCTGTCTCTCTGATCCGGTTTCTCTGATCCGGTCTCTCTGATCCTGTCTCTCTGATCTGTCTCTCTGATCCGGTCTCTCTGATCCGGTCTCTCTGATCTGTCTCTCTGATCCGGTCTCTCTGATCCGGTCTCTTTGTCTCTCTGATCCTGTCTCTCTGATCCGGTCTCTTTGTCTCTCTGATCCTGTCTCGCTGATCCTGTCTCTCTGATCCTGTCTCTCTGATCTGTCTCTCTGATCCGGTCTCTCTGATCCGGTCTCTTTGTCTCTCTGATCCTGTCTCTCTGATCCGGTCTCTTTGTCTCTCTGATCCTGTCTCTCTGATCCTGTCTCTCTGATCCTGTCTCTCTGATCCGGTCTCTCTGATCCGGTCTCTCTGATCCGGTCTCTTTGTCTCTCTGATCCTGTTTCTCTGATCCGGTCTCTCTGATCCGGTCTCTTTGTCTCTCTGATCCTGTCTCTCTGATCCTGTCTCTCTGATCCTGTCTCTCTGATCCGGTCTCTCTGATCCGGTCTCTCTGATCTGTCTCTCTGATCCGGTCTCTCTGATCCGGTCTCTTTGTCTCTCTGATCCTGTCTCTCTGATCCGGTCTCTTTGTCTCTCTGATCCTGTCTCGCTGATCCTGTCTCTCTGATCCTGTCTCTCTGATCTGTCTCTCTGATCCGGTCTCTCTGATCCGGTCTCTTTGTCTCTCTGATCCTGTCTCTCTGATCCTGTCTCTCTGATCCGGTCTCTTTGTCTCTCTGATCCTGTCTCTCTAATCCTGTCTGTGTCTCCAGGATGGGGGCGACGGTCTTCGTGCAGCCTCTGGACCTGGTGAAGAACCGGATGCAGCTGAGCGGTCAGGGCACGAAGGCACGAGAATACAAAACCAGCTTCCACGCTCTCTTCTCCATCCTGAAGAACGAGGGGGTGGGCGGCATCTACACCGGGTACCTAAAACCAGACCTTACACTTTAACCCTACATCTAGACCGGGTACCTAAAACCAGACCTTACACTTTAACCCTTCATCTAGACCGGGTACCTAAAACCAGACCTTACACTTTAACCCTACATCTAGACCGGGTACCTCAAACCAGACCTTACACTTTAACCCTACATCTAGACCGGGTACCTCAAACCAGACCTTACACTTTAACCCTTCATCTAGACCGGGTACCTCAAACCAGACCTTACACTTTAACCCTTCATCTAGACCGGGTACCTCAAACCAGACCTTACACTTTAACCCTTCATCTAGACCGGGTACCTAAAACCAGACCTTACACTTTAACCCTACATCTAGACCGGGTACCTAAAACCAGACCTTACACTTTAACCCTTCATCTACACCGGGTACCTAAAACCAGACCTTACACTTTAACCCTTCATCTAGACCGGGTACCTCAAACCAGACCTTACACTTTAACCCTTCATCTAGACCGGGTACCTCAAACCAGACCTTACACTTTAACCCTTAATCTAGACCGGGTACCTCAAACCAGACCTTACACTTTAACCCTTCATCTAGACCGGGTACCTCAAACCAGACCTTACACTTTAACCCTTCATCTAGACCGGGTACCTCAAACCAGACCTTACACTTTAACCCTACATCTAGACCGGGTACCTCAAACCAGACCTTACACTTTAACCCTTCATCTAGACCGGGTACCTCAAACCAGACCTTACACTTTAACCCTTCATCTAGACCGGGTACCTCAAACCAGACCTTACACTTTAACCCTTAATCTAGACCGGGTACCTCAAACCAGACCTTACACTTTAACCCTTCATCTAGACCGGGTACCTCAAACCAGACCTTACACTTTAACCCTTCATCTAGACCGGGTACCTCAAACCAGACCTTACACTTTAACCCTTCATCTAGACCGGGTACCTCAAACCAGACCTTACACTTTAACCCTACATCTAGACCGGGTACCTCAAACCAGACCTTACACTTTAACCCTTTATCTAGACTGAGTACCTGAACATGTGGTCTAACAGGGTACCTGAACATGTGGTCTAACAGGGTACCTGAACATGTGGTCTAACAGGGTACCTGAACATGTGGTCTAACCGGGTACCTGAACATGTGGTCTAACAGGGTACCTGAACATGTGGTCTAACCGGGTACCTGAACATGTGGTCTAAGCGGGTACCTCAAAGCGGACCCTGTAACGAGCCCCTCCTGTCTAGCTCTCATAATGGTCCACATGTCTGGGTAATAGATGGTCATGTTTGATCTGCTCGCTGTTTCAGTCTGTCGGCGGGTTTGTTGCGTCAGGCGACCTACACAACGACCCGTCTTGGAATCTACACCATCCTGTTTGAGAAGATGACCGGCGAGGACGGACGGCCACCGAACTTCCTGCTCAAGGTAACCACGGGGGTGCACACCTGTTCAAACTGGATCACTTCTTCTTCTCTGCTCTAAAACTGTAGCTCAGTTAAAGTGACACGCTGTGCTCCCCCTGCAGGCTCTGATTGGTATGACAGCTGGAGCTACTGGAGCGTTTGTTGGAACACCAGCAGAGGTCGCTCTGATCAGGATGACGGCTGACGGACGGTGAGACACACACACACACACACACACACACACACAGAGACACACACAGACACAGAGACACACACAGACACACACACACACACACACAGAGACACACACAGAGACACACACACACAGACACACACACACACAGAGACACACACAGACACACACACACACACACACAGAGACACACACAGACACACACACACACACACACACACACACACAGAGACACACAGACACACACACACACACACACACACACACACATAGAGACATACAGACACACACACACACACACACACACACAGAGACACACACACATAGAGACACACAGACAGACACACACACATACACACACTGTCTCTCTCTCTAACCTGTCTGTCTCTCT